TCGAAGCCCCAAGGCGAGCGCTGAGGGGGGGAAGCCATGAGGGGAGCAGCCGTGAGGGGAGAAGCGCTGAGGCACCGCTGCCGCAGCGACCCACACCACCTATTTGAGGCTAGTTCATCACTCACCCTCACTAAAACCAGAAAAAGGCCCAGCAAAGTTACTTTACCCACTTAATAAATTGTGAGGGAACAGCTATTTTACATAATTTTTAAGAAGGAGATGTATTAAAGCTCCTCAAGCAGTCAGATCCCTCCCCACCTCCTGCCCCCAACCCAGCGAACAGCCACGGAGCCGGCAGGTAGAGGGGTTGTGTGGTTTTATTTAAATCCAAGTTACAGCAAAATACAGGCTGGGGGTAATTAACGCTCACTCTGCACAGCCGACAGCGTTCATCTCGCTTCCCCACATCTCTGCTGCCTGTGTCCCGCAAGGCTGGCATGACAGGCTGGCGCTTGGTGGCCCAGGGGAGGCCAGCGGGTAAAGAATCTGCCCAAAACCAACAAGTCACCATGCACTCTACATTTACAGTTACCCGAAATGAAGCTGCTCCCCCCCTCCCCTTAGGTAGGAATGGAAAAAGAAAGGAAACATGACATTCGTCTCCCTTTAACGGGTGACTTCGTTATTTTCGATGCTGTGACGATCTCGAGCATCCTCGGCACTCTCCAATGTTTGATTGCTGTTGTCATCAGGGATCTCAGCTGAAACGTGGACCTGGCTCTCCCTGCTTTCCATGCTCTGGTGGCTATCTTCTTTGACACTAGCCTTGCTAACATCTGCTTCCACCTCATGGCTATCAAATTTCTGCCGGCTGTCGTTTTCCATGCTCTGGTCCCGCTGCTTGCTGTCCAGCTCACTGCTGTCCTGCCCATGGTTCTTGTCAGACCATTCCCTGCTGATGTACTTCCCCAAGGCACGGCGGACGGCAGGATCCTCCTGGGAGAGTCCTGCTTGCTGGCTGTCTGCATCCAGGGTGCTCTCATCCTCCTCAGTGGCATCATACACAATGAGCTGTGTTAGAGAACAAGCCAAGAAAGAGCCATTGTCACTCCTGAGGAAGTGATCTGTCAACAGGTGCTGCCGTATGGCACCAAAGCAAGCTGCATAGGCTGCGGGGACACTGAAAGCCTGCATGATGCATCTCTACCTGGATACACCGTGGTGTTTTATGGAGTTCTGTGAAGCTTTCGCATTACAAGAAGCTCAAGTTTAATCCTGGCCTCAGATTTCATGCATTCAAGTACATCACAACAGTGCAAACTGCAGTATTGCATAGCTTGGGGCAGCAAACAGCACACCAACAGCCACCAATAACCCCTGATTTGATGTATCCAGAGAAAGGAAATTCATTCCTTCACTTATGCCTACCTTCCCCTCACCAATCCTTTTCAAAACAGACTGCTATAAAGTAACACATCCATTTTCAAGTTCACTACCCTATCCAAAAACCTGGATATTGCTGCCCAACACTATTTACTCAACACTATTTACCTTTTTTGCAGCTTTACGGAGTTTTCTAGCCTTCATGGCTGCAGCTTTTGCCCTCACCCTGTAGGCCACGCTGTCACCTCTGCCGGCGTTGTCTCCCCGGGTGAAAGGGGGCATGGGGACAGTTATTGGAATTTCTGTGGGAAAACTTGAGACGGCCTCATCGGATTCATCCGTATCATTGGAATCATTATCATCATCATCGTCATCATCCACATCTTCATGGCTCTTGCTTGACACATCAGGAAAGTGCTGGAAAATATTTATTATGCATCAGACGAATGAATGTATATGTCAGATGTATAGACTGGTACCTGTCCTGCTCACCCAGGTTTTAGGTGCTCCTGAGGAGCTACATGCACAAAATTGCTCTGAATTTGCCTCATCCTGCCCGAAGCTTTGTTTTATTTAGGGGGAGTTGTTACCACAAGAACCATATTTGATTGAAGAAAATGAGTGCTGCTACACACTGGCTTGCCCTGCAGCATTCAACTGACATTTTGCTGTTCAAAACACTTACTGGTTTCACTGGGACATCCACGCTTTCTTCTGAAGAGTAGAGAGTCTGAAAACAAGATAAAACTCACTATTAGCACACAAAGGGGTATTCAGTTGAGCTGATCAGCACTTTGACTATTCTTTAAGCACTTAATCCCAAATCTTGGCATTGAAAGATGCTCTGCTTTCACTTCCAGTTAGCTGCCCATACCTGCTGAGGTGATGCCAGGTCATTCTGTGAGTCCTGCAGACTCTCCCAAGACTGAGAATTCACATGGTGGTGGTGGTGATATCTGTGTGAGTGATGGCCCCTGTGGTCCTTCAAGAGAAAAAAAGAGGGTTTTAATCCACAAAGGAACAGGCAAAGCTGCCTACATCACAACCTCTGTTTTCAGGCAGACGTGGCATCTGCAATACATACTCCTTTTGTACAGGATGTGTCCTCAGCAATTCATTGCCATGGGAAGAGGACTCAGAACAGGCTGTGATACCCAGATGAACATTATATCCAAGCAATATAACACAGAAGATGTGCTTCTCCCACTGGCAGCGCCTGGGGCACTTCAGATCAGTTTCTCCAGCTCATTTTTATTGAGTGAACTTTGGAGTTACATCTAACAACTGTCACATCTGCTAGTTGACAGGTCCTTTTCCCAAGACTGATTTATCTCCCATGTCATGAAGACTCTAAACTAAATGCAGTAGCTGATTCTCAGAGCAAAGAATTGATTTTACATGGGTAGTAGCTGGCAATGGAATATAAATCAAAGAACTATATACAAGACTAATACAATTCACTCGCATGACTCAAAAAATAAACAATGAGAATTGGATTAAAGTGCTCTTCCAACACCAAATATTGTCATCTGATCCACACTGATGAATGTGGGTTATAGTAGTTGTACCATGCTACAGTCCTTTTCTCATTTTAACTGTCAGTTTACACATTTTTCATTAATAAAAAGGGTTTCCAGTGCTGGTCCAGAGATACAACTAATAAAAGTCCACAACCAGGACGCCTAACACAGCAAAAGTCTACTGACATCAGTGGCTTTCTGCTTGGGCAGAGAGAAACTGGCTTATAAGAGCCAGGTGAGGACATGTCCTGCAAGCAGCTACAATCCTAAACAAGTATCATAAAATATCTGTAGTAGTGGGGGAAAAAAAATCAGAAGATTTATTAAAGAAAATTAATAGCAAGACAGAAGGAGCTTACGTATTTTTCTTCAGAGCTGGCAGAAACTCCATGCTGCTTGGATTTACTCACCTTGAAGGGAGAAAAGAGGAAAAAAAGCATTTGTCAGTATTAACTTCTTGCTCATATGGAAAGAAAATATGCAAGTGATTGCTGATATGCATTCGTGATTTACTCACTGGCCATGCAGCGGTGATGCTGATAAGGCATAAACACAGAACTGCCACCTTCATTGTGATGTTCTACCTAGAAAATATTTTGGAACAGTGAGTCTACAAGGTAAAATACCACTCAAAATGCCATAAGCTTTTTCTTTCTCCTGGTGTACTTCACTGCACTGAGACCAGCTCTCTGCTAAGGATTCAAGCTGCCCGCAGCAATCTTTTCCTTCTGGCCTCCATCACCACCCCATACCCAGCTGGTTTTGGAGTGACTTGGCAACTCAAAAGCTACAATAATTTTAAAACCAGGTACAAAAGTGCTGAGCAGTGGTGAGGGCAGCCACACTGAGAAGGTGAGCAGACTCCTACTGTCATCTGCTGACTTGCAGTGGCAAAGGAAAAGCTCTGTGAAAAACAAAGTGCTCTAAAGATCAGCTTTGGTTTATCTTTGTTCATTTAACATCATTTCAGCAGAAGAGACAGGACAAGACAAGAGCAGCTTGGATTCTCTTTCCAGTTATTTTAAAACCAGTGGTCAGGGTTATTAACTGGAGTCACTGTGAGTAAACTCACTTTATATGAACATAAACTTGCTCTTATTGATAGACCTTTATTTCACCCCCAGAAGTTTGAACAGAATAACCTGTGTTTCCAAGCAAGAGATGAACTTAACTATCTGCTCACATTGTGGTTTTAGCGATTTAATAAATGAGTGATTCCTGCT